GGCTGAGGGTACCCCAGGAGCCAATCAAGACCCGCCAACCCCCGGCACCTCTCGGCTAAGCCGGCCCCCGAACACCGTCACCCCGCCCTGAGAACCAGCCAGAACACGTCAAAAAAATCTATCAACAGTCCTGTGACCGAAGGCGATATGTGCGCCAGGCGTCGTACAACCGGACCGTTGAATAGGGATGCAAAATGCAGTAGCAAATCCAAAACGTGAATACAGAACGTGATCAGGCGGCTCACAGACGGATGAGGTGCCCAAACGTCCACTCGTTGTCAAGGTTGAACCAGGAGTCCATGCTATAAATAGTCGACGTAACTCTGTTACTTTTACGGGCTCACCATAGCCCGTGCTACATGGACACTTCGTCCTGAGTAGCTAAATCTTTAACAACAACAACAACAATATATGTTACGGTATCAACACTGCAGCTGGAGTGCGAAGTGGTGACTTCAGCACCATCTATGGGCCTGCACTCCAACTCCAAGGTATTAGGCGAGACACAGACAACGCCATCTGTTGGCCGTAGTGTGGCGTTTGTGAAGGGCTCCTGTTTCATACCTCAGCTAGGAGGTGAGGGGCCAGATTCACGAAAGCACTTACGAACCTGTACATCTTTTCTCAATCTTTGGCGGCTTTGTTTCCAATTATTAAACGGTTAATGAGCTCCGAAGCACCAGGAGGCTGTTTATAACAATAACAACAGTTGATTGGCAAGTTTTCATGCTTGTAAACTGTTTACTAAATGTAACCAAAGCCGTTAAAGATTGAGGAAAGATGTACACGTTCGTAAGTGCTGGCGTAAGTGCTTTCGTGAATCTGACCCGAGGTCGATGATGATAATCTCTGGGGTGGGGTGGGCATAACACTATCAACGCCATCTAGGTTGTGCAAGTAAGTATAATTTCAGTTCCCGGTGGAAGGGTGTTATCCTAAGGCCACCCATTATAGTGTCTGTCTATCTAATGACGCTTATGTTCATAGAAGTGACATGAGGAGGCGATTGCGCCGAGGAGGGCGGTTCACCTTCGGCAGTCCAGGGGCCAGATTCACGAAAGTACTTACGCAAGCACTTACGAACGTGTACATCTGTCCTCAATCTTTGACGGCTTTGGTTACATTTATTAAACAGTTTACAAGCATGAAAACTTGCCAATCAACTGTTGTTATTGTTATAAACAGCCTCCTGGTGCTTCGGGGCTCATTAACTGCTTAATAATTGGAAACAAAGCCGCCAAAGCTTATGAAAAGATGTACAGGTTCGTAAGTGTTTGCGTAAGTGCTTTCGTGAATCTGGCCCTTGGTCCTGTGAGAGGACAAAGTGACCACCGTCGGAAGTAACTACGTGTTAGCTGCTGGATTTATGCTGCGTTGTATGGACCGACGTACCCGAGATTTGACCAAGAAGAGTTACAAGAAGGCAGTAGTGTGTCTGATGAGACGTGCTGCTAATGTGTTGCTAGATACTTCTGCCGGGGTGTTATAGCTACCCCTCCACGCAATTATTTGAGACCCCAGTCAGGGTGTTCCTGAACAACCCGTCCTCTTGAAAAGAACGTCACTTTTGGCTGGTATGCGCACTATGGCCAAATTTGGACGTAATTTGAAATGAAATCCACTCACAAAAGTGACGTTCTGTTCCGTTTTCTATTTGAGTCGTCCGGCATACTCGCAGAGGTTATGAGAGTACACTTTAAGTTAACGTTTTTCATAACGTTTTGAAACTTTATGAGAATTTCCTGCCCACCTAACCTATCAGAGGACCCTTAACTTACTGTTGTTGAAGAAAAAAATCCCAAATTTATTTTCATATTTTTTTCAATTTCAAATTACGTCCAAATTCGGCCATACGGGCAAACGGCCAAAAGCGACGTTCTTTTTAAGAGGCCAGGTTTTCCTGAAACCGTCTGCCAGCGTGTTTCTGGAGAGTGGATCTGTGGTATTGGGACATCGTCACAATACGGTGTGTGGACTGGCCCACGTTGAGGAAGGTGAAATCGCTGGTGATTATCATCGAATGTGGACGACGTGTACCTGGACGTAGTGGACATGCCGGAATTTGATGAACACTGTCGTTCTACTGAGTGTCCTGGGTGAAAGCGACACAGTGCATATATGTGTAGAAATACTTGGCGATATAATACATGTATTGTTTATCCCCCCTTTTATTCCTGTTACTCCTATTTGCTATCACCAATTCTTGAAAACTTACCATCGACTTCAGGTAGGATCAGAGGAGAAGAAGAAGCTATGAGAGACGGTAACAGAACCTGGTCCTAGCTGGTCATAACACTTCAGAAAACATGCGATGCTATGCTAAATAGTTCACGTGACTCAAAAAAACCATGAGATGCTAAATAGTTCACGTGATTCCAGAAAACGTGCAATGCGATGCTAAATAGTTCACGTGACTCAAGAAAACATGTGATGCTATGCTAAGTAGTTGATATGGCTAGAACACATTTTAAGGGTATTTGTGACTTTGACTCCCTAAAGTAAAGATCTAACTACTAATATAACAACAACTTAGCTGTCTACAATGATAGTAGTTATATCCACTAGCCTGGATACTGTTGTTTACTTTGTGGGGTAATGGACTGTACCTATTCTGTACCTAGTTAGCTCGGTTTCAAATTGATCCAACAGGAATGGTGCTGCTTTCATTTACTTGTCGGATGAAATCACCACTTGACCACTTCGAAAATAAATGATGATTCCTGGCTGCGCCGCCAGAGGGTGCAGACGTCAGCTTAAGCTGTCAGTCGTCGTCTGCCGTTGCTGAGTGGTGGTTTGCTGTGGGAGGTGTGGAGCGCTCGCTAGTTGGGGCTCTGCCTGATGGTATGGAAGCGGCTGGTGGTAACCGTGTTAGCCGGGTGGATTCTGTCTGCCTGGATTTTTCTGCTGCTGTGGACTGGCCCATTGTGGGCTCTCCTGGACGTGCTCCGTGTCGACGTCTCCGAGCTCCTGGGACTCGAGAAGTTATCGCCTACCCGTGTTGCGGTGTCGTTTGCCACGTCACATGTTTACCAGGAGTTTGTGGATCGCTGGGATGGCTGCTTGCTTCCTCTTCCGGCTGTGTCTGTGGAGATCTCGGATCCCTGGGGGCTCTTGTCGTTTGTGAGTGTTCACGGCATGCTGGTGACCTTTCCTGAGGCAGAACTCATGTCATTCTTTACGCAGTTTGGTGCTGTGGTGAAGCACCAGTTCAACGTTTTGAGTGCGGGCCGGCTGAAGGGGGTCCGTCTGGGTCAACCCGTTCTCGCAAATTCGTAAAGTCAATATTGACTTATTAACTACGTGCTTAGGTGATATACTAAACATAATAGATACCAATAAAAAGATTCATAGAAAACACCGACCTTACCTAACCTTGTTAGTATCTTAAGATAAGCATCTTATTGCTTCGTAATTACAATTATTACTTAACCTATACCTATTATAGGTTAGGTAATAATTGTAATTACGAAGCAATAAGATGCTTATTTTAAGATACTAACAAGGTTAGGTAAGGTCGGTGTTTTCTATGAATCTTTTTAAGGGTATCTATTATGTTAAGTATGTCACCTATGCACATATTTAATAAGTCAATATTGACTTATTAAATTTGCGAGAACGGGTTGGTCTGGGTACACGCACACTCGTCATGTGGATCACGAGCCCTATTCCGTCCCGGGGTTTCGTTTCGTGGGCTCTCTACGCGGATCTTTTGTCAAGGTCAAACCCGCACGTGTTTCCGGTGTGGTGCTGAGGGCCACGTAGCAGCCGGTTGTGACGCTCCTCATGCTGAGGCCCCTTCAGTTTTCCGGGGGGCTGACTTTCCCTGCTTGTCTGTGTGTGGGGTTTCCCCGGCGGATCCTCGCTCTGTGCAGGTGCCTGGTGTGGTTCCTGCGGCGGTTCTGGCTGTCGCTCCGTCTGGACTTGATCTGTCTGCCCCACCGGTGAGCTCGAGGGACCTAGGGGCCCCTGCTTCGGACCTTCGCCGTTCGGTGGTTGCGGAGGTGCATCCGCATCTGATTGCTTCCGGGGTGACTTTGGGTGGTACTGTAGGGGTGACGCCTGCATCTCCTGCTGAAGAACATGTGCTTCCCGGGGCTGTCGGGGCGGTGGTGTGTGACTCCGCCCACGCCCTCTGCCTCGTCGCCTCTGGTAGTTTTCTCGTTGACGCATGCCTCTTCTCCTCTGCCGGGTCCGTTGCCCTCGCTGGATGCCTCACGTGTGCTGGGGTCTACCCTTCCGCCTGCTGTGTCTCTTCCTTCTCCGAATCTGGTCTCATTGAATGGTAGTGGCTTTTTGCCCCGCATCGTTGAAGCTGTTGTTCTGCGTGATCGTGCTGCCCCGGCTTTGAGGCCGCCTGCCGCTGGTTCTTCTGGGGCGCCGCTTGCAGGGAGTGACAGTTCCGACGATCAACGGCCTATTTTTAAGTGCCATCGTTCGGCTCGGGATGTGGCACCTCGCTGGACGTGGGCAGAGGAGCGTGATGCCATGGATGATGATGCTGTGGGCGACGATGTGATGCCTCCTGTGGTGCCTTCTGTGTTGGACACTGTGCCCCCTGCTGGTGGCTCTCCTCAGTGGGCGGTTGCCCCTGGTGACCGCGACCTCGTAGTGGTGTTGTCACAGGATGTGCGTCGGGGGGACCCTGCTCCTATTCCGATTGGTTGGGACACTGGGGCGCCTGCGGTGTCACCTTCTGCGGGGCTCGGTGCGCTGCCCGGCATAGAACACAGTGCACGCCTTAGTGGACGGCCCAATGTGAGGCCCAATGTGAGGCCCACTGTGCAGCCTGGTGTGCTTCCTGAGGTGCGGCCCTGTGACCGGATTCCTAGGAGGAAAATCGTCCTCCCGTTTGGAGAGGTGGTCGACAAATCTGGTAGAACTCTGTGTTGAGTCTGATGACCGAGTGCGTCCTGTTCCATGGTGTCCTTCTACCATCTGGGTTCCGCGGGCGCGGTGTTTCATCATTGGCGTGCCGGATTTGATGCCTCGGCCTACTGCGACTACTGGACGTCCGATTCCTGAAACGGCCCAACTTGTTTGCGATGCTTACTGCTGACTTTTTCTGGCTCGGGAGTACCCGGAGAAGTGTGAGTGATACGTGTGGTTGGCTTGTCTGTATTGTGCGTGTTGTTCCCCCGGTGCCTGCGTGCACAGATGGCTGTTCTTGTCTGTGCGTGTGTGTGTGGTGTCGGTATTTGTTTTTGTCTCCTGCATGGCCTGTTTTGTAGTATTTGCGATTTGTTTTACGCTTTGCCTTTGTTCTGTGTGGGTGTTTGTGTTGTGGTTGTGGGTGTTTGGTGTTTTATCTTTCCTGTATTAGCACGTGCCCCGTGTGTTGGTATGGCAGGCGATTTGGGGTGGTGTGGTTGTGTATGTTGCTGTTCCATGTGTTTGTCGCATGGGTTGTGTGTTGTGTTTACTAGTTGTGTTTTTACGGGGGTTGAGCTTTGCTCTTTCGGCACGCCTCTCAACTGTCAATCAACTGTTTACTAACTACTTTTTTTTCTTTTTTGTGCCACACCACACGGAGTCACACACACACTCCCCCCTAGGAAGCAGCCCGTGACAGCTGACTAACTCCCAGGTACCTATTTACTGCTAGGTAACAGGGGCATTCAGGGTGAAAGAAACTTTGCCCATTTGTTTCCGCCTCGTGCGGGAATCGAACCCGCGCCACAGAATTACGAGTCCTGCGCGCTATCCACCAGGCTACGAGGCCCCCCTACGAGGGGGGTGGTTGGATTTCTGTACATTTGTTGTAATTTTTGCATTCTGTGACCCATGCTGTTTGTGGGTTTCTCTGCTTGTGTCCTGTGTGTTTTCCTGTGACCTCTTGTATATTATGTCTGTTTCATGGTGTTTGCTTTATGTATAAGCCCGATGGTTTGCTTTTATATGTTGATTTGCTTTTGTTCACTGTTTTTTGTACTTTTTTTTATATATTTTTTTTATATATCAATAAAAAAGGAAAATAAACAAGAATGTTTAATGCAGCTACACTGATAGTTACAAATTATTTTAGCCTATGCTTTTGATTTGGTATCCACATATATGTTATATTATAAACAATGGTAAGATTATTTAATTCTTTATTGCAATGAGTTTATCTGTTGCAAAAGTATACTTTCATTTGTCTTTAAGCAAGTTCAAGTCTTTAAGTTCACAGTCTCCGTGGTGTAGTGGTAAGACACTCGCCTGGCGTTCCGCGAGCGCTATGTCATGGGTTCGTATCCTGGCCGGGGAGGATTTACTGGGCGCAATTCCTTAACTGTAGCCTCTGTTTAACGCAACAGTAAAATGTGTACTTGGATGAAAAAACGATTCTTCGCGGCAGGGGATCGTATTCCAGGGACCATAGGATTAAGGACTTGCCCGAAACGCTACGCGTACTAGTGGCTGTACAAGAATGTAACAACTCTTCTATATATCTCAAAAAAAAAAATATCTCAAAAAAGTGCAAGATATCAATTATTTGTTAAATATTGCTTAACCTAGCTAATATATTTTATTAGTGGCAAGTAATTTACATACTGACGTGAGCTCGTAAGCTCATGGTATAACCGCACCTGTAATTAATAGGGTTAATGGCACAAATGATATTGGATCCAATTTTTATTGTTACTACACCACCCACCTCCCTTAGTGGGAAAATACAGTTACACTGGTTTCATTACCTTACATTTCCTCGGGTTGAACTGTAGTAGCCATTTGTTGGACCATTCATTCAGTTTGTCTAGATCATCTTGTAGCCTTATACTATCTTCCTGGAGCTCTGCCTTATTATGCTAAAACTTAAACCTCTTATTTGGCCAGAGAGCGTGTAGCGCTGCTCACTGCCACGGTCGGGCAGCCGGTCGGCCGAGCGGACAGCACGCTGGACTTGTAATCCTGCGGTCCTGGGTTCGATCCCAGGCGCCGGCGAGAAACAATGGGCAGAGTTTCTTTCACCCTATGCCCCTGTTACCTAGCAGTAAATTAGGTACCTGGGTATTAGTCAGCTGTCACGGGCTACTTCCTGGGGGTGGAGGCCTGGTCGAGGACCGGGCCGCGGGGACACTAAAAGCCCCGAAATCATCTCAAGATAACCTCAAGAAGATAGCCACTGTTTAAGTGGTGTTGTAACATTCCACTCACAACCGTTATCTTTCAAGCACCTATCATTGTTAAACAGTGTGTGAACACCCAGCAAACACACACCGAAACTACGACGTTGGTACAACGTTCGAACAAGTTTTAACACCTCCTAACAAGTTAAAACACCCAATATAGCAAGTTGTAACAACGTTCTAATACGTCTTAAACACGTTAAGCCAAGATGTAACAACTTTATTACAAGTTGTAACAAGCGGAAAATAGAGACAGTTTCGGTTTGTGTTTCTAGGGCACTTATATCAGTTCTATTTGTTGTTTACACTAACCAAATGTCTACGGTTGTAAAACCGCTAAACTTAAGCGTGTACGACCATGAAGTGGTCGTACCATGTAGAGGTGTAGTTATGTTTACTTGTGTGTCAGGGAGTCTGGGGTCAGATTCACGAAAGCACTTAGGCAAACACTTACGAACCAGTACATCTTTTCTCAATCATTGGCCGCTTTGTTTCCAATTATTAAACAGTTAATGAGCTCCGAAGCACCAGGAGGCTGTTTATAACAATTACAACAGTTGAATGGGAAGTTTTCATGCTTGTAAACTGTTTAATAAATGTAACGAAAGCCGTCAAACATTGAGGAAAGATGTACACGTTCGTAAGTGCTTGCTTAAGTGCTTTCATGAATCTGGCCCCTGGGCATCGGTGTGACCACACTCTCCTCTCACAGTTTCTATATGACAAGGCACACTTTTATCTCTTTTAAACCACGTGTCTTAATATTTATATACATTTATGTGTTGTTTACACCACCATTAAGGTCCACAGATGTTAAAAATAAAAAAAAAAATTGAAAATTATGGCTTGATTAAAATTAATTTGAAAATCACGGCTGAAAATTAAAGAGCTTGTTCATCCGAGGTGTCTCCCTGAGGCAGAGGAGTAATGTTTACTTGTGGGTAAGGGAGTCTGGCGTCGGTGTGTCCGTCCACTCTCTCCTCTCGGGTTCATTGCATGAGAATAAATTATATCACTTTAAACCATGTCTTAAAATTAATACACATGTGCAGTTGACACCACCATTCAAGTCCTCGGATATAAAATGGAAGCAAATTAAGCAGCTTGTATATTTGAGATGGTTGGTTGGTGTTGATTAAGGGGCGACGACGATCGTGGGATCGGATGCACCCCGGCGTACCCGTGAAGAGTTAATGGCGAAGACGAATGACAGATGATTGGGGAGCTCCAGGGGTCCCACAGGGGATAAGCATCAATCCCACCCCACACAGAGAGCACTGGGTAGCAAAACTATATACTCGGCTCCCAACAGAGACGCAAAAGAACTCCCGGCACCTCTCGGCCCAGCCGACGCCGGACACCGTCACCCCGCTGGGTGAACCAGCCAGAAAACGCGAAGAAAAAAATAAATCCATCAACAATCCTGTGACCCAAGAAGATATGTACGCCAGGCGTTGTACAAACCGGACCGTTGAATAGGGATGCCAAACAGCAGTATCAAATCCAAAATCGCGAAACAGAACGCGATCAGCAAGGTCCCAGGCGGAGGTGGTGTCCAGACGTCTGCTCGTCGTCAAGATCGAACCAGGAGTCCCATCCGAGGTGTCTCCATGAGGTAGAAGAGTATTGTTTACTGTCTGGTATCGTCCGGATACACATGCGATCCACCCCAGGTCTGGATATTGTTGCATGAGCTTCATCTTGAACCAGTGTTGCATAAGCCTCACCTTGAACCAGTGTTGCATGAGCCTCACCTTGAGCCAGTGTTGCATGAGCCTCACCTTGAGCCAGTGTTGCATGAGCCTCACCTTGAGCCAGTGTTGCATGAGCCTCATCTTGAGCCAGTGTTGCTTGAGCCTCACCTTGAGCCAGTGTTGCATGAGCCTCACCTTGAGCCAGTGTTGCATGAGCCTCACCTTGAGCCAGTGTTGCATGAGCCTCATCTTGAGCCAGTGTTGCATGAGCCTCATCTTGAGCCAGTGTTGCATGAGCCTCACCTTGAGCCAGTGTTGCATGAGCCTCACCTTGAGCCAGTGTTGCATGAGCCTCACCTTGAGCCAGTGTTGCATGAGCCTCACCTTGAGCCAGTGTTGCATGAGCCTCACCTTGAGCCAGTGTTGCATGAGCCTCACCTTGAGCCAGTGTTGCATGAGCCTCACCTTGAGCCAGTGTAATATGAGCCTCACCTTGAGCCAGTGTTGTATCAGCCTCACCTTGAGCCAGTGTTGCATAAGCCTCACCTTGAGCCAGTGTTGCATGAGCCTCACCTTGAGCCAGTGTTGCATGAGCCTCACCTTGAGCCAGTGTTGCATAGGCCTCACCTTGAGCCAGTGTTGCATCAGCTTCACCTTGAGCCAGTGTTGCATCAGCTTCACCTTGAGCCAGTGTTGCATGAACCTCACCTTGAACCAGTGTTGCATGAGCCTCACCTTGAGCCAGTGTTGCATGAGCCTCACCTTGAGCCAGTGTTACATGAGCCTCATCTTGAGCCAGTGTTGCATGAGCCTCACCTTGAGCCAGTGTTGCATCAGCTTCACCTTGAGCCAGTGTTGCATGAACCTCACCTTGAACCAGTGTTGCTTGAGCCTCACCTTGAGCCAGTGTTGCATGAGCCTCACCTTGAACCAGTGTTGCTTGAGCCTCACCTTGAGCCAGTGTTGCATGAGCCTCACCTTGAGCCAGTGATGCATGAGCCTCACCTTGAGCCAGTGTAATATAAACCTCACCTTGAGCCAGTGTAATATGAGCCTCACCTTGAGCCAGTGTAACATAAGCCTCACCTTGAGCCAGTGTTGCATGAGCCTCACCTTGAGCCAGTGTTGCATAAGCCTCACCTTGAGCCAGTGTTGCATGAGCCTCACCTTGAGCCAGTGTAACATAAGCCTCACCTTGAGCCAGTGTTGCATGAGCCTCACCTTGAGCCAGTGTTGCATGAGCCTCACCTTGAACCAGTGTAACATAAGCCTCACCTTGAGCCAGTGTTGCATGAGCCTCACCTTGAGCCAGTGTTGCATGAGCCTCACCTTGAACCAGTGTAACATAAGCCTCACCTTGAGCCAGTGTTGCATGAGCCTCACCTTGAGCCAGTGTAATATGAGCCTCACCTTGAGCCAGTGTAACATAAGCCTCACCTTGAGCCAGTGTTGCATGAGCCTCACCTTGAGCCAGTGTTGCATGAGCCTCACCTTGAGCCAGTGTTGCATGAGCCTCACCTTGAACCAGTGTAACATAAGCCTCACCTTGAGCCAGTGTTGCATGAGCCTCACCTTGAGCCAGTGTAATATGAGCCTCACCTTGAGCCAGTGTAACATAAGCCTCACCTTGAGCCAGTGTTGCATGAGCCTCACCTTGAGCCAGTGTAACATAAGCCTCACCTTGAGCCAGTGTTGCATGAGCCTCACCTTGAGCCAGTGTTGCATGAGCCTCACCTTGAGCCAGTGTAACATAAGCCTCACCTTGAGCCAGTGTTGCATGAGCCTCACCTTGAGCCAGTGTAACATAAGTCTCACCTTGAGCCAGTGTTGCATGAGCCTCACCTTGAACCAGTGTAACATAAGCCTCACCTTGAGCCAGTGTTGCATGAGCCTCACCTTGAGCCAGTGTAATATGAGCCTCACCTTGAGCCAGTGTTGCATGAGCCTCACCTTGAGCCAGTGTTGCATGAGCCTCACCTTGAACCAGTGTAACATAAGCCTCACCTTGAGCCAGTGTTGCATGAGCCTCACCTTGAGCCAGTGTAATATGAGCCTCACCTTGAGCCAGTGTAACATAAGCCTCACCTTGAGCCAGTGTTGCATGAGCCTCACCTTGAGCCAGTGTAACATAAGCCTCACCTTGAGCCAGTGTTGCATGAGCCTCACCTTGAGCCAGTGTAACATAAGCCTCACCTTGAGCCAGTGTTGCATGAGCCTCACCTTGAGCCAGTGTAACATAAGCCTCACCTTGAGCCAGTGTTGCATGAGCCTCACCTTGAGCCAGTGTAACATAAGCCTCACCTTGAGCCAGTGTTGCATGAGCCTCACCTTGAGCCAGTGTAACATAAGCCTCACCTTGAGCCAGTGTTGCATGAGCCTCACCTTGAGCCAGTGTAACATGAGCCTCACCTTGAGCCAGTGTTGCATGAGCCTCACCTTGAGCCAGTGTAACATAAGCCTCACCTTGAGCCAGTGTTGCATGAGCCTCACCTTGAGCCAGTGTAACATAAGCCTCACCTTGAGCCAGTGTAACATAAGCCTCACCTTGAGCCAGTGTAACATGAGCCTCACCTTGAACCAGTGTTGCATGAGCCTCACCTTGAGCCAGTGTTGCATGAGCCTCACCTTGAGCCAGTGTTGCATGAGCCTCACCTTGAGCCAGTGTTGCATGAGCCTCACCTTGAGCCAGTGTTGCATGAGCCTCACCTTGAGCCAGTGTAACATAAGCCTCACCTTGAGCCAGTGTAACATAAGCCTCACCTTGAGCCAGTGTAACATAAGCCTCACCTTGAGCCAGTGTAACATAAGCCTCACCTTGAGCCAGTGTAACATAAGTCTCACCTTGAGCCAGTGTTGCATGAGCCTCACCTTGAGCCAGTGTTGCATGAGCCTCACCTTGAGCCAGTGTTGCATGAGCCTCACCTTGAGCCAGTGTTGCATGAGCCTCACCTTGAGCCAGTGTAACATAAGCCTCACCTTGAGCCAGTGTAACATAAGCCTCACCTTGAGCCAGTGTTGCGTAAGACCAGCCTCCACAAGTCGTTGTATATTTTTGTCAAACTTGTGTTTCCATGGTGAATTTTTTTGGAAATACCACGACAAGTACATGTTGCAGAGTCCTTCCTTCGTTGTATACCAGTTTAATATCTGCAAATAATACAGTAATGTTGGTGTTGAACACAGTAACATCTTTATGATTGTACTTAAGCCTTGGACCTGGTAAAGACGTCACTTGGCCTGAACAAAAAACAATAACAATAATTTGCAAAAATGACGACTGGATGAATAATCTTACCTAATAGAAGATGAACTTTGTTTTTATATATAAAAATAATTAATATGAATAATTTCGGCATCATCCCAATTGAGAATTTGATATAAAACATTATGGATCAGAAATACTTTGATTTTTCTTCAGTTATCCACATTAAATTTTCTATCAATCACACTAGAAACGGAAACGAAAGAAATAATAGAAAACTTTTGATCCGAAATTGATCAACTGATCTAGATATTATAAATTATTTTGAAATTTTGTTATATATCATAAGTAAGGGTTGGCAAGCCTATGGCATGCGTGTAGAGGGTGCATTAGAGAGCATTTTGCTGGCGCGCGACCAGCAGGGGCCAGATTCACGATAGCACTTACGAACGTGTACATCTTTCCTCAATCTTTGACGGTTTTGGTTACATTTATTAAACGATTTACAAGTATGAAAACTTGCCAATCAACTGTTGTTATTGTTATAAACAGCCTCCTGGTGCTTCGGAGCTCGTTAACTGTTTAATAATTGTAAACAAAGCCGCCAAAGATTGAGAAAAGTGTACAGGTTCGTAAGTGCTTGCGTAAGTGCTTTCGTGAATCTGGCCCCAGGAGCGCTGCACCTTCATGTCCTGAACTCAATCCAAAATAAATAAACAGATGAAGCAGCGAATGATTAGTTCAGCCTGCCCTCCAAACAAAGACCCAAAAGTGATTCCATACACCCGCCAAACCCCCTGTTTATGAATGAAAAGCAGTTTACACACGACTCAAAACTATTGACGTTCGAACACTTTCGGAACAAGTGCTTCACTGACTAATTTTGTTCGAATCACCAGCCCGTCCTCCAAACAAAGACCCAAAAGTGATTCCATGCACCCGCCAAACCCCCTGTTTATGAATGAAAAACGGTTTACACACGACTCACAACTGCTGACGTTCGAACATATCCGGAACAAGTGCTTCACTGACGAATTTTGTTCGAATCACAACGCTGTAAATGCTTCACCCACGTACTACAAATACAAATAATCGCCAACAGAACCTAAACACCTAACCTAACCTAACCTATACCTATATATACACAATATACCAATATATTATAATATTAATTTATACTTGAGAAAATTCCCGTTTTGAATGAACAGCATGTTAAAATTTATGAATGCGTCTGTGGGGTCGACCGCTGAATGTAATGGACTTGAGTCGAGGACGGGTTGCGAACCACAACGCTGTAAATGCTTCACCCACGTACTACAAATACAAATAATAAATAACATCCCCCGCATCGTTCCAAAATCGATTGTTTAACCAGCTAGAATTAGATCCCAGGAGGAGTTATGAAATGTGTGTACAAAAATTACTGCTCCCCACTTCACATTACGTTATTAAGGGTGATAATCCTGAGGCCTATATACGCCTATATACGGAGCCGGTCGGCCGAGCGGACAGCACGCTGGACTTGTGATCCTGTGGTCCTGGGTTCGATCCCAGGTGCCGGCGAGAAACAATGGGCAGTGTTTCTTTCACCCTATGCCCCTGTTACCTAGCAGTAAAATAGGTACCTGGGTGTTAGTCAGCTGTCACGGGCTGCTTCCTGGGGGTGGAGGCCTGGTCGAGGACCGGGCCGCGGGGACACTAAAAAGCCCCGAAATCATCTCAAGATAACCTCAAGATAACGTGTAGGTGTTACGTATGAGAAAATGGGCGAGGGGAGATACATGCATTCAAAGTATTTATTATCATCTGATGTTTTAGCCGGAACTATAAAAGAAATTAATACCAGGATTAATACAGAAATAGACGCCATATTTTCAAGTAATGCTAAACTGAGTTTTTAGGAAAGTCATTAAAACAATTTTCAGCTAAATACGGAACACATTTTATTAAATATGATTCTTCCTCCAATCGAAACAAGTTCACTACTGTGATTAGTGAGGAGAATATTAGCTCTGCAACGGGGCATAAAAACATCAGTAGAGTTACATTATCATTTGGGACCGCTTTTGAGAGAGTGTTGGGCGTAGTTCCAGAAATAGAATATGACATATTCGCAAAACGTCAGTATGCCTCGAGTGTAGTTAACACATGTCTATTCCCGCCAATGCCTAGAGGAGGAGTTGATATTCTGTGTGTTTATTGCGATAAAATCTCTTCTACTAGATATGGAAACCAGTCTGTAAATATTTTGGATGTAATCTCCCTAAATGGAAGTGATAACAGCAACAATAAAAAACTATATGTGCGTCTTAACACTAACATGATAGACAGCGTCAGCATCACTATTAGGGATCAAGATGGTAACCCGATACATTTTGATGAACGTGGGTGCACCATAGCAGTCTTGCATGTACGTCCTGTAGCAGGAGGTATATAACACCAACGCTTTCCCGCCACTCCTCATTCGTCTGAAACAAGCGGAGAAATGCGTGTCCACTTTATTCCCCCCTCTGTTGAGGAATTATACATTCTGTTAACCCCTCCTAGAGGTGGTGGGACTGATGATATACGGATTTTCAACAGTAGTAGACGTTATACGCGTGGAGGAGGAATATTTTCCTTTTTAAGCGGAATAGCGCATCAAGCAGCGCCCTTTATAATGAGAACACTGGCCCCGGCTGCGCTTAGCTTGGGGCAGAACGTACTAGACGACATTAATAATGACAAACAAACTTTCAAACAATCTCTTAAGAAACGCGGAGTTGAAACATTGAAAGGAGTGGGGAAGCAAATGATAGGTGGAAGAGTGCAGAAAAAGAATAAACAAACAAAAAAATTAGTAAACATCAAACGTTTTACTAAAGCGAAATATAATGATGTGTTGTCATAACTTCTTCTCACTCGGCTGGTGTTGTCTAAAGCGCGAACATGGCCGGATATAACGCTCTGGGCCTCCAGGTGCCATTAGAACATTATACAGCCGCTGTTAGTGAAGCCTTTCCTAAAGTATTTTCCCCTCGATTGGTAGAATCAATAACTGCCAGCAGATAAACGGTGGATGTATTACCTGTGAATTCTGGGGTCAATAATAAGTTTACAGACACCTATCTGGAATTCATCATCAAGGGGGTGAATGGCCAACTGGTGGATTTATCATCTATAGCTTTGGAGTTGTCTATTGATCTAACCGAAGAAGATGGAACAACGCCTTTAGGAGACGCTAAAAACGTTTCGTTGGTGAATGGATTATCGCAAACTCTAATCAAATCCGCTATTGTGCATTTAAACGAAACAGTAGTTGAAACCAGCTTATTATTCTCATTCTGGTCGTACGTCAAGTTATTATCTACGATTTCTGGGTGTAAAGCTAACCGCTATGATAAACTGTCACAGTTTTTTAACCGTGTCGATCCTGGTAAAATTGAAGCTGGTTATTTCACTAACGCCTCGGCTGGGGAGAAGCAGCGGATGACTGATATGAAAACGAGTGGCGTGAATACTTGTTTTAAACTAATGCTGGATGTCACATCAGTTAGTGAATACGTTTTGGATAATGTGGACATCAGGGTGCGGCTCGAACTTCAACTTGATAAATGGCTTATACTCAGCGATAATGAACACGTTAATTTTAAATACAATATCAAGTCTACATGTCTATGGGTGGATCGGGTATTGCCGTACCCTGAAGGATTAATAGCCGTTAATAAAGCCATGGTGCAGAACAACTCTCCTATTACGTATACTTTTAATAAAACTTTATACAAAACGTATATATTGGGCACAGGTCAGCGCTCGATAACAATGGACCAACCGTGGGGGACTGTTATACCAGAACATTTATATATGATCATCCTTGATATGGAGGCAGTGTCTGGTACATATAATCGCAACCCACTTTATTTGGAAAACTGTGAGCTTAGTAAAGTATTAATATCGCAGAATAGCACTAATATTGTCAATATTGGGTGCGACTTCCCTCATAACTGGAAGATAGAACAAGGAGATAGTTGTCAGGAGAGGTGACAAGTCGCCAATATATGTCATTCTTAAAAAAGACGAATATCTGGCGAAAATGAACCTCATACTCTCTGACCAAACTAAATTCCATAGGGTAACGAAGGACACTACAGCCGAATTGAAAGCAAAGGTCAACAAACTGATCGAAACTGTGAACGCCAAGAAATCCGGACTCCACCTGCCAAAGATTATTGGGGAATATAAACCTGGATATGCGTATGGAAATGTCAAGACACACAAGCCTGGAAACCCACTTCGTCCAATCATCAGCCAGATACCCACACCCATGTACAGACTGGCGAAGCGACTCAACGGCCTGCTGACTCCTTATGTCCCTTGCGCCTTCAGCCTGAAGTCTCCAAAGGAATTTGTTGACTTACTGCGGGGCACACGGGCCACAGGGATAAGAGCCTTGTTGGACGTAGAATCACTGTTTACCAACGTACCTGTGGACGAGACAATCGGGATGATAGCCGACAGAATGTATCGTGATCCGGCCTGTACTCCTCTTGACATACCAGAAAATATTCTAAGGAAACTACTCCAAGCTTGTACTAAAGAGGCACCCTTCTTGAGCCCGGATGGGCACATGTATAAGCAAGTAGATGGGGTCGCCATGGGTTCTCCCCTAGGTGTCCTGTTTGCAAACTTCTACATGGGTACCATCGAGCAAAAAGTCTTAGTCGACATGAACTTGAAACCGGCCATATACTGCAGGTATGTTGACGACATTTTTACACAGGTACCTGATGTCAGACATCTGCAGGAGCTGAAGGAGGCATTTGAGCAGAGTTTCGTGCTGCGTTTCACTTACGAGATGGAAAAGGATGGGAAGCTGCCCTTTCTAGATGTAACAGTCATGGAAAAGAGCGGAGGTTTCCACACTGCAGTCTACACCAAGGAAACGAACATAGGAATGTGCCTAAATGCCAACAGCGACTGCCCAGACAGGTACAAGAGGAGTGTTGTTAACGCTTATGTCGACCGTGCCCTCAGCCACAGTTCAGAATGGAAGCAAGTCGACGAAGAACTCTGTAGGGTAAGGCAGGTCCTAGTCAACAACGGCGTCTCCAATGGTTTCGTGGAAGACATCATAAGAAGGAAAGTGAAACGCCATGCAACCTCTGAAGAGACAACTAACACAACACCTATATCCCCTATTAGACTATTTTACAGGAACTTCTTTTCCACAGCCCATAAAACGGAGGAAAGGGTCCTGAAAGATATTGTCAGTAGAAACGTTATCCCTACAGACAAAAATCAGAAGATACAACTGACGATTTACTATAAAACCAGAAAAACGGCCAACCTACTCATGAGAAACTCTCCAGACACAAAGCAGAATGCTTTAAAAGAGACCAACGTCGTCTATGCCTTCAAATGCCCTCTTGGGGACTGTAAGCCTGAAAAAACCCAGTATATAGGCAAGACAACAACATCTCTTTCCAGGCGTTTAACGATGCATAAGCAACAGGGCTCCATTAAGGAACATATAATCTCTTCCCACAAACAAACCATCACCAGAGCAATCTTAGCAAACAACACAGAAATCATCGATAGATACAGCGATAGCAGGCGGCTTGACGTCTGCGAGGCACTACACATCAAGAAGTCAACACCAGCAATCAACAGCCAATTAATGCACAACTATATTCTACCCACCTCAAGACTCTGCTCCAATATAGAAGCATCAAGAAATATGGACCAATAGGCTTTCTACAATCACTTCCATTCAATACCCATTGTTTCGTGTTCTGTCTTGTGTTTAGGAATTTAATACCCTATTAATACCACCTCACCACATCAACCTCACTCAAATGTAGATATAAACAAATCGAAGATGTGTAAGTTCTATTCAGTTGTGTATGTGTAAACTAAAGTCTTTGAAAATGTAATAAGTTTTACGAAATGCGCTCAAGTGTCGTGTCAGACTAGAAATAAAAATGAATTTTGGAGAACTGATTTTTGAATTACCTCCAACAGTGAAAAGAAACGTACGAAAGATCGAGAAAATTCGTGTTAGAATTATTAATCTTACTTTTTCGGTCATATTTAATAATATATGTCTACAGGAAAGACTGCTACCAAATATATAATATATATATATATATGTCGTACCTAGTAGCTAATATATATATATATATATATATATATATGATATATATATATATATATATATATGTTAGGTTAGGTTAGGTATATATATATATATATATGTCGTACCTAGTAGCAAGAACGCACTTCCCAGCCTACTATGCAAGGCCCAATTTGCCTAATAAGCCAAGTTTTCATGAATTAATTGTTTTTCGTCTACCTAACCTACCTAACCTAACCTAACCTAACCTAACTTTTTCGGCTACATAACCTAACCTAACCTATAAAGATAGGTTAGGTTAGGTTAGGTAGGGTTGGTTAGGTTCGGTCATATATCTACGTTAATTTTAACTCCAATAAAAAAAATTGACCTCATACATAATGAAATGGGTAGCTTTATCATTTCACAAGAAAAAAATTAGAGAAAATATATTAATTCAGGAAAACTTGGCTTATTAGGCAAATCGGGCCTTGCATAGTAGGCTGAGAAGTGCGTTCTGGCTACTAGGTACGACATTATATATATATATATATATATATATATATATATATATATATATATATATATATATATATATATATATATATATATATATATATATATATATATATATATATATATATATATATATATATATATATATATATGCGAACAAGCCTGAATGGTCCCCAGGACAATATGCAACTGAAAACTCACACCCCAGAAGTGACTCGAACCCATACTCCCAGGAGCAACGCAACTGGTATGTACAAGACGCCTTAATCCACTTGACCATCACGACCGGACATAATGAGGTGATAGCCGAGGCTATTTGAACCACCCCACCGCCGGCACTCGGATAGTAATCTTGGGCATAGCATTTTACCAAATCACCTCATTCTTTGGGGCACACGTGAGGAACACAAATGCGAACAAGCCTGAATGGTCCCCAGGACAATATGCAACTGAAGTATGGAGTATGGGTTCGAGTCACTTCTGGGGTGTGAGTTTTCAGTTGCATATTGTCCTGGGGACCATTCAGGCTTGTTTGCATTTGTGTTCCTCACGTGTGCCCCAAAGAATGAGGTGATATGGTAAAATGCTATGCCCAAGATTACTATCCGAGTGCCGGCGGTGGGGTGGTTCAAATAGCCTCGGCTATCACCTCATTATGTCCGGTCGTGATGGTCAAGTGGATTAAGGCGTCTTGTACATACCAGTTGCGTTGCTCCTGGGAGTATGGGTTCGAGTCACTTCTGGGGTGTGAGTTTTCAGTTATATATATTATATATATATATATATATATATATATATATATATATATATATATATATATATATATATATGTATGCGAACAAGCCTGAATGGTCCCCAGGACTATATGCAACTGAAAACTCACACCCCAGAAGTGACTCGAACCCATACTGCCAGGAGCAACGCAACTGGTATGTACAGGACGCCTTAATCCACTTGACCATCTCGACCGGACTAAGGAAGTGATAGCCGAAGCTATTTGAACCACCACCCCGCCGGCACCCGGATGGTAATCTTGGGCATAGCATTTTATCAAATCACCTCATTCTTTGGGGCACACGTGAGGAACACAAATGCGAACAAGCCTGAATGGTCCCCAGGACTATATGCAACTGAAAACTCACACCCCAGAAGTGACTCGAACCCATACTGCCAGGAGCAACGCAACTGGTATGTACAGGACGCCTTAATCTACTTGACAATCATGACCGGACTAAGGAAGTGATAGCCAAAGCTATTTGAACCACTTCCACGCCGGCCGAAAAGTAGTTCAAATAGCTTCGGCTATTACCTACTTAGTCCGGTCGTGATGGTCAAGCGGATTAAGGCGTCCTGAATGCCTAAAATGCCTAAGGCATTTTAGGCATTAAGGCAAGGCATTTTTTGCCTAAGGCAAATGTGTCCTGTATGCCTAAAAAATATAGAAAATGGTTATTATTCCCCTCTTGCTCTCCTGTGACCTTTGCTACAAACAGCTACGGGAAGACGTCTTGAAGGTGCAGCCTTCTAAGACTTCTGAAACATTGTCACAGTTCTAGAGAAGGAGTCGGAAGCCTTCAAGTTGTTGTAGACAAAGGTCAAAGTGAACCTTAAGGTGCAGGGGGGGGGGGGTAATAGCCATCTTCTATATTTTGGAGGCATAAACAGTCAGAAAATAAAAATTATTTCCCAGGAACAAACAGATGCCTCGTAGCCTGGTGGATAGCGCGCAGGACTCGTAATTCTGTGGCGCGGGTTCGATTCCCGCACGAGGCAGAAACAAATGGGCAAAGTTTCTTTCACCCTGAATGCCCCTGTTACCTAGCAGTAAATAGGTACCTGGGAGTTAGTCAGCTGTTACGGGCTGCTTCCTGGGGGTGGAGGCCTGGTCGAGGACCGGGCCGCGGGGATACTGAAGCCCCGAAATCATCTCAAGATAACCTCAAGATAGTGTTACATTGTGTTAACTAGTTCTGGAATATAAGGTTTACTTAGCCTGGCATTTGTTCCCTGAATGTGTATAATATCTGTCTGTTACATGAAGGTTTACATCTACTAAATCTGCCATCCTGTTAAAGAGTCAGATGTAGAGTATCATTGAGCAAGTCACAGTCTCCGTGGTGTAGTGGTAAGACACTCGCCTGGCGTTCCGCGAGCGCTATGTCATGGGTTCGTATCCTGGCCGGGGAGGATTTACTGGGCACAATTCCTTAACTGTAGCCTCTGTTTAACGCAACAGTAAAATGTGTACTTGGATGAAAAAACGATTCTTCGCGGCGGGGATCGTATTCCAGGGACCATAGGATAGGACTTGCCCGAAACGCTACGCGTACTAGTGGCTGTACAAGAATGTAACAACTCTTGTATATATCTCAAAAAAAAAAAAAAAAAAAAAATTGTAGATCACTTTTGTGCTAAAGTTACATGGTCTTCAAGCTAGTAGCTTGAGAAGGAAATTTGTTGACTGTATTATAGCACGAAAATGACATAAATTATTTTTAATGTATTATCAGAGAGTGGGAGAGATATAGTAATCACACTGCCCCCCCCCCTTCTCCCTCTCCTACTAACAAACAAACAAAAGGTTTGCCTCACCTTGTGACGATTACTAAGAAGAATCGTGGCGTAGGCAGTTCCAGCGATGAAGGCGTGGGTGCCTGCTCTCATAGCCGCCACGGAGGCATCGTCATGTGGAAAAAGGTCGGTTTTACTCCATAACTTCTTGTAAATGTCGTCTTTGGAGTTCTTTATCAACAACGCCAGGCCCCCGCTGTAGTCTTTCAATGCCAACCTTACATAAATTATTGTGTTAGCCACCACCCTCAGTCTTATGTTTTGAATTTTATTTCCTCATTCTAAGTGAATATTTTAAATTACATACTATGTTTTATATACATACATACATATATATATACATATATACATATATATATATATATATATATATATATATATATATATATGTCGTACCTAGTAGCCAGAATGCACTTCTCGGCCTACTATGCAAGGCTCGATTTGCCTAATAAGCCAAGTTTCCCTGAATTAATATATTTTGTCTAATTTTTTTCTTATGAAATGATAAAGCTACCCATTTCATTATGTATGAGGTCAATTTTTTTTTATTTGAGTTAAAATTAACGAAGATATATGACCGAACCTAACCAACCCAACCTAACATAACCTAACCTATCTTTATAGGTTAGGTTAGGTAGCCGAAAAAGTTAGGTTAGGTTAGGTAGTCGAAAAGCAATTAATTTATGAAAACTTGGCTTATTAGGCAAATGGGGCCTTGCATAGTATGCAGAGAAGTGCGTTCTGGCTACTAAGTACGACATATATATATATATATATATATATATATATATATATATATATATATATATATATATATATATATATATATATATGCGAACAAGCCTGAATGGTCCCCAGGACAATATGCAACTGAAAACTCACACCCCAGAAGTGACTCGAACCCATACTCCCAGGAGCAACACAACTGGTATGTACAAGACGCCTTAATCCACTTGACCATCACGACCGGACATAATGAGGTGATAGCCGAAGCTATTTGAACCACCCCACCGCCGGCACACTAATGCCCAAGATTACTATCCGAGTGCCGGCGGTGGGGTGGTTCAAATAGCTTCGGCTATCACCTCATTATGTCCGGTCGTGATGGTCAAGTGGATTAAGGCGTCTTGTACATACCAGTTGTGTTGCTCCTGGGAGTATGGGTTCGAGTCACTTCTGGGGTGTGAGTTTTCAGTTATATATATATATATATATATGTCGTACCTAGTAGCCAGAACTCACTTCTCAGCCTACTATGCAAGGCCCGATTTGCCTAATAAGCCAAGTTTTCATGAATTAATTGTTTTTCGACTACCTAACCTACCTAACCTAACCTAACCTAACTTTTTGGGCTACATAACCCAACCTAACCTATAGAGATAGGTTAGGTTAGGTTAGGTAGGGTTGGTTAGGTTCGGTCATATATCAACGTTAATTTTAACTCCAATGAACAAAAATTGACCTCACACATAATGAAATGGGTAGCTTTATCATTTCATAAGAAAAAATTTAGAGAAAATATATTAATTCAGGAAAACTTGGCTTGTTAGGCAAATCGGGCCATGCATAGTAGGCTGAGAAGTGAGTTCTGGCTACTAGGTACGACATATATATATATATATATATATATATATATATATATATATATATATATATATATTTTATGATCGATGTTCCCTTCGGGAATCTTAATTTTAAGATGAATAGGAAAACCAGGGATATACTGAACATCTTGTTTCAGATTCTTTACTTTAAAATGCATAACGTTTCGAATACTTCTCGTATTCATCATCAGATCTAAAAGAAAAAACAGAAATCACAATCAAATAACTGGTAAACAAAGAACTCATACTGAATATAATTGCCTATCAAAGAAAGGAAAATGCTTAAAAAACAAAACACTTAAGCGCACTTAAAGTGATCAATACAAATAAAACTTATTAACTGTCACATATATAAAAGCTAATTTAAAAATCCATTAAACTACAAGATGAATTTTATAACTACTAAAACAAACCATTCTATTAAACTTACGTGAAGTGATCAGAAGTGAAACTTGATACCTAACACATAGATACTAAACACTATAACAAATATTCATATAATGACTACAAATCTACAAAAAATGTATGTAAAATACAAACAGAATAAACGACAATTATAAAGTACTAACCAAAATCTTATAAAAACTCAAATATTAAATAAAATTAAATACCAAAAAATGTATTATATATATCCTAAATAAAAGATTATAATAATGTACAATGTTAAGACTTGAAATAAGTAAGAAAGGGCAAAGACATGGTAAACTAAACAAAATTTAAATAAAATTAAACTACCAGAATGAACTATAAATCAATTTACAGGGCCTACTGTGCACTATACAGTGTACAATTGAACAGCTGAAAGGTTGCTATTCAACAGAGGCCGCAGCTCCTTTATATATAAGGATTCCATTACTCTCAAATCCTTTTGGGACCCGGAAGCGAAAAATATTCGAATTATGAAGAAATAACTTAAAAATGTTAAACAAATCTCTAACTTATTGGCTTCAGCGTCGTGAAACTTTCATCAAAATAGTTTCAGAAATTGATTTTAGGTGAATTAAAAAAAAAGTTTTGTTGATAAGGAGAGCAGCTATTAACTGGAACTAAAGGATAATGCAATAATAGAGATATGCAAGTACCAGCTTGAACTTAAACTTACCAGAACTTAACTATGGGTGGGCCTCGTAGCCTGGTGGATAGCGCGCAGGACTCGTAATTCTGTGGCGCGGGTTCGATTCCCGCACGAGGCAGAAACAAATGGGCAAAGTTTCTTTCACCCTGAATGCCCCTGTTACCTAGCAGTAAATAGGTACCTGGGAGTTAGTCAGCTGTCACGGGCTGCTTCCTGGGGGTGGAGGCCTGGTCGAGGACCAGGCCGCGGGGACACTAAAGCCCCGAAATCATCTCAAGATAACCTCAAGATAACCAGTCCGACGCTCAAAGAAGAGTAGTAAGAAGTATCCACAAAGTGGATATGCAGCTGGTCCCTTTATAGCATTGCTGAGTATATGTCAGTATATATGTGTCATACGTATGTGTTATTCTGAGTATTTAGAATGGATAATAACGCAAATAATAATGAGTAACTATGTTATTATTCTCTATTTTGTTATATATCATATATATACATTGTCCAATGTTAATATATGTTTCTTTCGTCAATGTCTCAAAAATATGTTTTTAGTAGAGGAATTTTTTTTAAGATTTTAGTTTTTTTGTCTACTATGTTTATTTTACGATTTTGTTGTAAACCTTACATCCTGGAGAGTGGATTACCTTTCCCTAACTATGTGACAACCCGTTCTCGCAAATTTAATAAGTCAATATTGACTTATTAAATATGTGCGTAGGTGACATACTTAACATAATAGATACCCTTAAAAAGATTCATAGAAAACACCGACCTTACCTAACCTACTTAGTATTTTAAGATAAGCATCTTATTGCTTCGTAATTACAATTATTACCTAACCTATAATAGGTATAGGTTAAGTAATAATTGTAATTACGAAGCAATAAGATGCTTATCTTAAGATACTAACAAGGTTAGGTAAGGTCGGTGTTTTCTATGAATCTTTTTAAGGGTATCTATTATGTTTAGTATATCACCTATGCACGTAGTTAATAAGTCAATATTGACTTTACAAATTTGCGAGAACGGGTTGTATGTGAAGATAGAATGAAATTGGTCAACAAATAAGTCAGTCACAACTCATAGTACTTGGGACTTTGAATTTTTGGGGCGTTTTCTTCTCAGATTTTAAACTCCATTTTCTTGGGGCTTTTCTTTTCTTAGACCAAATTAAGGTTTTTCACATATGTAAAGTATACCCTAAATATATCCCCTAAATCATTATAATTATCCCTATATTAGTTTTTTTGAAGGGGTATTTTTAATTGACTTCATTTCAACATATATTGACTTACAACTTTCACATATTCGAGTACGAATGCCGAACAATGTTTATTAAAATATACAAATATATTAAAGAATTAAAACTACCTTTATTCATTGTCGATAACTTTAACTTCAATTATCTCTGAAACTAGAGTTTCAACTTTGAGTGGCTTCTAAAATTCCAGTTTTTAACCAATTTTCACCATTTTGACATATTGTGTGCACAATTGTCTGTTCTACAATCTCTTTAGAATTTATTTTTTTATAAATCCTATACGTATGGAGTTATAATTTATTTTGATCTAAATTTGCTGCATATTTCAAATGCAATATTGACGATTTTTTTACAGTAAACTATACTGAAAATCTATATTCTAATTTGATGAAAATAAAGATCATATGCTATTCTGAGAGACTAATAACACAAAATGAACAATTTGTGATAGTTTAGTATTTTTCATTTTGATTTGAAAATCTGAAGTTTTCAATATTAAATTATAAAATTATTTTTTATTCACTTTTTTTCATGTTACGTGGTGATCATTTAGACAAAATTGGAGCATTTGTCTAGCTGATTATGCACAAAAAATTGGAATGTGTTTGTGCAAATTTTATAAATTTGAGTTATGTCAAATCGTATATGTATGTTTTGCGCGGTTTAAGGGATAATTATAGGCGACGATCAACAAGTTGTAGCCTTCACACGTCTCAGTTTACCTGCCAACGAATTGCATCGTAAGATCTACTACAAACAATGTATTCGAATTATAATTATAATGATTTATGATCACTTGATATAACGGGTGATATTAACTGCACTTACCAGGTTTTTGGTGATCGCATCTTGAGGTTATCTTGAGATGATTTCGGGGCTTTTTAGTGTCCCCGCGGCCCGGTCCTCGACCAGGCCTCCACCCCCAGGAAGCAGCCCGTGACAGCTGACTAACTCCCAGGTACCTATTTACTGCTAGGTAACAGGGGCATTCAGGGTGAAAGAAACTTTGCCCATTTGTTTCTGCCTCGTGCGGGAATCGAACCCACGCCACAGAATTACGAGTCCTGCGCGCTATCCACCAGGCTACGAGGCCCCTTCAGGCATATATCATAACTAATGATGAATTTACCTATACAATGAGCTCAAGTACAAGAACCTGATATCAGTACAGTAACGTGGTAGTCGAACAGGCACGAACCAACGTATAATTTAACTATTTGTGAGATCTCAACCAAACACGTCTCTCGGTTGTGATTCAAGATAACCAGCCCCTCCTTCCCGGCTGGTAGCAAACTCCTTCCCCAAATTCGTTTTTACTGATTTCCGGAAGAGAGATTTTATTTAGTTGATTTGATTACTCCAAATTTCATTTAATTTATAGAATAATTTTTTAATATATTCAGTCTTCAGACTGGCGCCTTTAGAGTTGTAACAAGTGATTAAATTTTGGTTGTGATGTAGTAATGCTTTTATTTTTACTCGTTTTTTAGCCTGGCAAATTTGCCACGTACAATCTCCTTTGGGACTAATTAAATTAATTTAATTTAAGGTTTATTAGACACAAAAACAACAGTAATTCCTCACTACTTGTTGGGTTAAGGAATTTATATATGATGTGGAAAGTTTTCCCAAAACTGTCAACCAGGTGGTGGAGAGTGTGGAGGTGCTGTGGGTACTGGGGACTTTACCTGTAGTGACTGTCAACCAGGTACTGGGGACTTTACCTGTAGTGACTGTCAACCAGGTACTGGGGACTTTACCAGTAGTGACTGTCAACCAGGTACTGGGGACTTTACCTGTAGTGACTGTCAACCAGGTACTGGGGACTTTACCTGTAGTGACTGTCAACCAGGTACTGGGGACTATACCTGTAGTGACTGTCAACCAGGTACTGGGGACTTTACCTGTAGTGACTGTCAACCAGGTACTGGGGACTTTACCTGTAGTGACTGTCAACCAGGTACTGGGGACTTTACCTGTAGTGACTGTCAACCAGGTACTGGGGACTTTACCTGTAGTGACTGTCAACCAGGTACTGGGGACTTTACCTGTAGTGACTGTCAACCAGGTACTGGGGACTTTACCTGTAGTGACTGTCCACCAGGTACTGGGGACTTTACCTGTAGTGACTGTCCACCAGCTGCTGGAGAGTGTGGAGGTGCTGTGGGTAGGTTGGTCTGGTGAAGATGGCTATGAGGTTGCAGGTGTAGGCGCCACTGATGATGAGACAATAGAGGTACCAGACACCGACGAACATCCTCCTCCACACTGTGCGGGGGAGAGCCGGCAAGCTCTGGTTCAGTGGTCCTCGCTGTAGGTAGAGCCAACTGGACCCCACGCCGCCCACCATGGCCGCCCCCGCCACACGCTCCTGCACACGTCAACATTTATGTTAATTTCCAACGAAAAATAACACTAGCCAACTTTTTTCGCTTTATTTTTTCTGAGTAAGATTTGACACTTGTCATTTAATCCATTCGTGCAGATTTAAAAAATTTAATTGGTTTTTGTCTATCAGGTCAACATTTAATTTTACAGCTTTTTTGCGTTTTTTCAAGTATTATGTAGAACAAATCCATGAATGTGCACTCACGAAAGATTTGCAGTCTCCGTGGTGTAGTGGTAAGACACTCGCCTGGCGTTCCGCGAGCGCTATGTCATGGGTTCGTATCCTGGCCGGGGAGGATTTACTGGGCGCAAATCCTTAACTGTAGCCTCTGTTTAACGCAACAGTAAAATGTGTACTTGGATGAAAAAACGATTCTTCGCGGCAGGGGATCGTATTCCAGGGACCTGCCCGAAACGCTACGCGTACTAGTGGCTGTACAAGAATGTAACAACTCTTGTACATATCTCAAAAAAAAAAATATGTAGCGACTATCATGAAAGTTATGTGGGGACTAATTAAATTATAACTTCTCTTTTCCCAATTCAGATAAAAGCTGCTGCTAGAAGAAAGTGTTGTCCAGTCACACGACGAATATTAGTGACTGTGTGAAGGTGTACATCGCTTACTGTCATGTTACTCATGGAGACCACCACCTAGAATCACGAAGCACCATGCACTTTTGAGATATATACAAGAGTTGTTACATTCTTGTACAGCCACTAGTACGCGTAGCGTTTCGGGCAAGTCCTTAATCCTATGGTCCCTGGAATACGATCCCCTGCCGCGAAGAATCGTTTTTTCATCCAAGTACACATTTTACTGTTGCGTTAAACAGAGGCTACAGTTAAGGAATTGCGCCCAGTAAATCCTCCCCGGCCAGGATACGAACTCATGACATAGCGCTCGCGGAACGCCAGGCGAGTGTCTTACCACTACACCACGGAGACTGTATCTTATATCACTTCTTATTACGCCCCTGAGTTATGAAGGTTCTTAAGTACTCCGTAAGAAAAGACGCTTTAACACGCCACTTTGTTTATGCGTGTTAAAGAATATATATAAGTGACAGGTAGTAGTCTTAATGAATTGTTATGGAGAAAATTTGTCGCTGCAGTCTTAAGGAATTGTTATGGAGAAAATATCGTCACTAAGCTGTACCCGTTTAAGAGTGAAATTAAAGTCTAAAGCTGTCCATTTTCAGAGGACATGTAAATTAGGAGTGTGTGAAGTAAGTAATATTGTCAGATGTTAGTTCTTATACCTGGCTCTTAACGTTTATAGGTATAGTTTCGTTACTATTAACGCGATTTTCATGATATTTAAAACAGATGCATTTCAGATGCATTAAGAACAAATGAGAGAGTTTTCATGTTCCAGCTCCTGTCTTCCGCCTTAGTCCTCTTGTGTATTTTCGCTATTAGGCGTTCTATTTCACCCCAGAAATGATATTATGTTACTGTTTAACTCAGCCGGTGGCTGAGCGGACAGAACAATGGACGTGTTATCCTGTGGTCCTGGGTTCGGTCCCCGGAGTTACTCTCTCACAGTTTGCGCAACTCCTTGAATGGCTTAGTCTTCATCAATCTCTCAAGAATAGCAAAGGCTCTTTGGAGATCAAAACTATTGTAGTAGAATTGGCCAAGCTACCCATCTGCAATGATCGATATTGATTGTTGTAGGATATTGATTCAACATGTGTGGAAATATGTAAAATGGTACTAGCCTTGTGGAATCGTTACCGCTACACAAGATTATTTCGTGAAAAACTTCCTTACAAAAATCACGCTGTTGTAGCTGATCGCAGTAAACCTGGAAATAAACATATTGGAGAACCGCCCGAATTCAACAGCCGGATGGCTGAAGTCCCCCATCGATCGGTCCTTATTGGATTAGTCACCCAGTTTGCTAGCGGACCAGCGACTTTACTAACTTACCCCCTCCCCATCCGGCCCGTTGGCGTCGTGAGGGGGCTTGGTGGACGGCTGCTGGAGTGTGATGCTCCGTTGGGCAGTCCTCTGTCCTTTTCTGGCCTTGCACTCCCGCTGCTGTCTTCTCCAATTGTGCCGGATCGCTTTTCCTTTTCCTTATGTTTCGTTTTTCTCCCCCCTCTTCTCCTATCTGCTTGTCGTTTCCTGCCGACCTTTTGCTTGTTTTGGATTCTTTCTTTGGACTTCTTCTATTTTGACGCCCGGGTGTTTGAGGAGGCATACTCTTGCACCCGTAGAACTGTAGTACCCGACGTCTCGAGCGAGGGGAACCTTTCATTGTCAATCCCCCTTTCGTCACTGAACCCGATCTCGACGGACTGACGGTTCTTAAGGTGGCGTTTGTAGGGCGTATACTCACGACGCACCTCTAGGGGGCCCCGGCATGATCGGCGATAGCTTCCTGTTGGGTGTCCTGCCTCTAATTGTGGCTCCATGGTGGGTATGGGGGCACATTCGTGGATGAATTTGTCACTTTTCGTCTCTATGTAGTTGAATGTTTCCGTTGTACCCTCTCAGGCTCGTGGGGTGGGCGACCAAGCCCCCGAGTCGGCCTGTATTGGAAGACCAGATTCTGTAGCTCCCGCTGCGTTGGGCCCCGACCTTGCTCCTCCTTTGACCGTCCTGATTTCTTCCCCCAGCTCCCCTCCCTCCTCTGTGGTTGGGTCGAGCCTCCAGCCCCCGGTGGTGACCACTTCGTCCCCTGGTGCGGCTAAGTCTTTCGTTGTGACTACTGCGCCTTTTGACCCCTCTCTCTCTGGGGGGTCTCAACGCCGTTCGCGCCCCAACCGCACTCGCTCGATTCCTTCCCGTGCTGATGCGTATCAGGCCTTGTTTGGTCCTGCTTCATGGGCCAAATACTTTGATCTCCTCCCTCTTGATTCTGCGCCTCCTGACGATTTTTCCCTCCATCGGCATCTTGTAGATTCGGTGGATGCGTCTGTTACCTTCAACCCCACTCGTCTCGGTACACGTGTCGATGCTGCTCCTTCTCAGGATGCGGCTTCCCGCTTGGCTGCCTTATCCTGCCTTGGCGAGATCCCTGTTCGGGTCTCCAAGAACGTTCAGATGAATGCCAGTGTTGGCACTATTCTCCTCCCACCCCATGTTGCAACCGGTGTTCGGAATCTGCAGGATTGCCACGATGATATTCGGCATATCCTTGATGCCCAAGGCCATTCTGTCCTCCAGGTAGACTCGTTTACTCGTCCCCCCTCGTGGTCGTCGCCGTCAACCCCTTCGCGTTGTGAAGATCACCTTTGATGGTAGGACCCTTCCATCCTCTGTCATTCTTGCTGGTGCTAGGTGCTCTGTCCAGGAGTATATTCCTTCTCCTCGGCTGTGTAACAAGTGCTGGAGGTTTGGGCATGGTGCCCTCCGCTGCTCCGGGACTGTCTCTCTGTCCTTTGTGTGGGAGTGAAGGTCACTCTAAGTCGGAGTGCACTTCTCCCCAGGCTCGTTGCCTCAACTGCGGTGAGGCCCATCCTACCTTCTCCCGTGCGTGTGTCCATTACAAGCTTGAGGCGGCCGTCCTCAACTTGAAGCACCGGGAGCGTTTATCTTTTCCCGAGGCGAGGCGCCAGGTTCGCCGGCTCCCGCCTTATGCTAATATCTCTTATGCTCGCGTGTTGCGCTCTTCCTCTCCTCGTCCTTCCCCCCTTCCTCAGACTCACAACCGTTTCCGGGCCTTGGACCCTGATACGCCCACTGCACCCTCCTCTGTTCCTTTGAGTTCTGTCCCGAAGGGTCCCCCTTCTGGTCCTCTGTCTGGGGTTCCCATTCCTTCTACCCGGTCTGTCATGTCTCCTGTGTCTTCTTCCTCGTCTCCCTCCGATCCTCCTTCCCATCCTCTTCCTCCATCTATCGGCTCTCCCCACCGCCTGTCGGTGCGGGCGGATGTCCATCGCTCTCCTAACGGCCGTCGTGTGTGCTCTCGTTCGGCTTCTCCTGTTGAGACGCTAGAATCCGTTGCCCGGTACGTAGTTGCTGGGACACCTGTCTCTTTAAGTCAGAAGCGAAAGCCTGGCTCCTCTCCTTCCTCTTCCCCGGCGGGTAAGAAGGCTTCGCTTTCTTCCTCAGCTCCTACGTCTGGTTCTGTTGCTCCTTCCCCTCCCGTTTCAGTGATTGCACCCCCTGTTCCTGCTATGGAGGTTTCTTTGGCCCCTGCTTCCCTTTCGGTTGCTGCTCTTGCTGGGGTGCGCTCCCCTCTTTCTACTCCCCCTCTTCCTGCTGCTGTCCTTGACTGCTCCTCTCCATTGTCTCCTCCTCTTCCTCCTCCTCCTCCGGACCCCGCCCGCCCACCTCTTATCTGTTCTCCCGTTTCCTTCCCTCCGTCTTTGCTCAGTTTACCCATGCCCCCTAACCCTGACTTTGCTGACCCTGATCCCGACCCTGATATTCTTTAACGTGCTCTGTTGCTCTTTCGCCTTTGTTTCTTCCTTGTTCTCTGTTGTTGTCCTTTCTCTTCTCGTCGTTGTCCATTCTTCAATGGAATGTTTGAGGTTATTACGCCAATTTCCTCGAACTCCAACTTCTGATTTCGCTGTTTTCGCCCCTTTGTGTCTGTCTCCAGGAGCCAATGCTTGGTGCTCGTCCTGGTCGTTTTCGTGGCTATTCCTTTCTCTTCCCCCCCCCAGCCATTGCTGGGGCTTCTAATTCTTCTGCTCTCTTGATTCGTGCTGATGTTCCCTTTGTTCCTTTGCTTTTTCCTTCGCCTCTCCATTGTTCTGCTGCTCGTATCTTTGTGGGGAAATGGTACACAGTTTGTTCCATTTATCTCCCCCCGAGTGTCCCGCTTTCTCTTCCTGATTTGAAACACCTCCTAGACTCCTTGCCGGAGCCTGTGCTCCTGCTGTGGTGACTTCAATTGTCGTCATTCTCTTTGGGGTGACGTTCTGACGAATACCCGGGGTCGCCTCCTTGAGCCGTTTCTCCTCTCTTCTTCCCTGTCTCTTCTGAATTCTGGTGAGCCCACTCATTTGGACTCTCGGACTCGCACCCTTTCTTGTCTTGATCTTTCTCTCTGCTCTTCTTCTCTTTACTTAGATTTCACGTGGCAGGTTCTTGATGACCTCCATGGAAGTGATCATTTCCCCATCCTTGTTTCCTTTTTCTCTTTTCGCCCTTCCCTCTCTTTCCCTAGGTGGCAGTTTGCTAAGGCGGACTGGACCCTATTTACCCTCAGTGCTGCTCTCTCTGACCTCTCCCTTCTGCCTCTCTCTCGCGCTCTCCTCCTTTTTCATGACAGTCTTCAACGCTGCCCTCCGCTCTATTCCTCGCTCTTCCTCTCGGGGTCCACGGAAGTGCGTTCCCTGGTGGAATGCGGACTGTGCTCGGGCTGTCCGCTGTAAGCGTGCAGCCTGGAAGAGGCACCGCCGTAGGCAGACGACCGATTCTTTTCTTTTCTTTCGGAAAGTGAGTGCAGTGGCCCGTAGGGCCATCCGTACGGCTAAACGTGAATGTTGGGCATCTTATGTCTCAACAATTACGTCCGAAACCCCTCTGGCCCAGATCTGGAAGCGTATCCGCAAGATAGCGGGTAAGTTCGTTCCCGATGTTTCACCGGTCCTTCACCTCCATGATACTCTTGTGGCGGACCCGTTGCAGGTCGCTTCCGAACTGGGTTCCCACTTTTCTTCTGTTAGCTCTGGTCTTCATCTTCCCCAATCTTTCCTTCTTCGTAAACCTGTCCTTGAGTCTCGTCCTTTAGATTTCTGCACTCATCTTCAGCTTCCCTATAATGATCCCTTCTCTCTCTCTGAACTTCGTTCTGCCCTGGCCCTCTGCGGTTCTACGGCGGCGGGCTCCGATGGTATTCATTATGAGATGCTTCGCCATCTCCCTCCGAGCACGTCTCAGTATTTACTGAGTCTGTATAATCGGATCTGGGAGTCGTCGTCAGTCCCTGAGGACTGGCTCGATGCCGTTGTCCTCCCTGTTCGCAAACCGGGGTCTCTGGGTACTTCCCCTAAGGACTCTCGCCCTATTGCTCTCACAAGTTGTGTCTGCAAACTCTTTGAACGTATGGTTAACGTTCGTCTGGTGTGGTTCCTGGAACACCATCACCTCCTCTCCCCTTCTCAATTTGGTTTCCGCAAGTGCCGCAGCACGACAGATGTCCTGGTGAACTTGGAGGTCTATATTCGTACTGCTTTTGCTGCGAAGACCTCCGTTGTTACCGTCCTTTTTGACCTGGAAAAAGCTTACGACACCACTTGGCGTTATCATATCCTATCTCAACTTCATTCTTTTGGCCTTCGTGGTCATCTCCCTCTCTTTCTCCACGGCTTCCTCTCTCGTCGTTCCTTTCGGGTGCGCCTTGGTACCGCTCTCTCTCCCTCTTTTCAGCAATACGAAGGTGTGCCCCAGGGTAGTGTTCTGAGCACTACTCTTTTTCTGGTTGCCCTCAATGGTCTTCTTTCCTCTCTTCCTTCTGGTGTCTTCTCCGCTCTCTATGTCGATGATCTTACCCTTTGTTGTCAGGGTGATGATTCGCCTCTCCTTCAACGCCGGCTTCAACTTGCAATTGATGCCGTGTCGTCTTGGGCCACTGATCATGGCTTCAAGTTCTCTACTTCTAAGACTTGTGCCATGACTTTTACGCGGAAACGGGTTGTTCTTCGTCCCTCTTTGTCACTTTATGGTCATCCCCTTGAATACAAAGATTCCGCGAAGCTTTTGGGGTTATTCTTTGACACTCGTTTGTCTTGGTCTCCCCATATCTCTTACCTCCGTGTTGAGTGCTCTAAGGCCCTTACCCTCCTTCGGGTCTTGTCCCATACTTCTTGGGGGGCAGATAGGCGCACTCTCCTTGCTTTACATTCCTCTCTCGTCCTGTCTAAGCTCTATTATGGTTGCCCTGCTTACTCGTCTGCTTCTCCTTCTACTCTTCGCCGTCTTGATGCTTTGCACCATACTGGGTTGAGCCTCAGTTCTGGTGCCTTTCGTTCGACTCCCGTCCTTAGCTTGTATGTTGACACTGGCTTCCTGTCTCTCCAGGACCGCCGTGATCGCTACTGTCTTCGCTATCTTGCGCGGTCCTTGCAACATCCTTCCTCTCGCCTCTGTCGTGCTTTAACTTTTACCTCTCCTGCGGTTCCTGTTCCTCTTCACCACCTCCCTCTTTCTGTCCGGTTATCTCGCCTGCAGGATTCTCTTTCCGTTCGTATTTCTGATGTTTCTCCTCGTGTTGTTCCTTCTTTGCCCCCGTGGAGGGTCCCTCTTCCGCGGTTTTGTACATCCTTGACCCGTATCACTAAAGCTTTTACCCCTCCTACAGTTCTAAAACGCCTTTTCCTCGAGCACTTTTCTTCTCACTCCCGCTCCGTTTCTGTCTTCACCGATGGGTCTAAGTCAGCGGACGGTGTTGGCTACTCTGTTGTTTTTCCTGATCGCACTTATATGTGTCGCTTACCTCCGGAGACTAGCATCTTTACAGCGGAACTTTATGCTATTCTCTATGCTCTTCGTCTCCTGCTTTCTCGTTGTCAGTCTTCCTTTGTAGTTGTTGTTGACTCTCGTAGTGCCCTCATGGCTCTCGGGTCCTTTAATCCGGTTCATCCAGTGGTTGTCGAGATCCAGCATTGGCTGTTTCTCGTTCACAGTAAATTTAAGTCGGTTGAGTTTTGTTGGGTTCCCAGCCATATTGGTGTGTCTTTAAATGAGCGTGCGGATGCTGCCGCCAAGGAAGCTGTCCACTCTTGTCCCATCTCTCGTAAAGGCATTCCATATTCCGACTTTTACCCGGTTATCCATTCCTCAGTCCAACCCGTTGGCAGGCTTCTTGGTTGTCTGTTACTGGTAACAAGCTACGTACTCTTAAATGTTGTGTTTCCTCGTGGACGTCCTCCTTCCACCGTAACCGGCGGTGGGAAACAGCTCTGGCGAGGTTGCGTATTGGCCATACTTGCTTAACCCATGGTCACTTGATGGAGCGCCGCCCTGCCCCTTATTGTCCTAGTTGCATTGTCCCTCTTACGGTCGTGCATGTCCTTCTTGAATGTCCTGACTTCCAGGACGAGCGTGTGTCTTGCTTTCCGACCGCCCCTCGCGGTCACCTGTCCCTCGATAGAATTCTTGGTGACTCGGATACTTTTGATATCGTTCGCCTTATGCGTTTTTGTTCTCGTATTGGCATCCTTGGTGATATTTAGCGCCCTCTGATTATTTTGCGTATTTGATGGTGCTACATAGCCTTCCCGGTTTGGTGCCTTCTTTTGATAATTACTTACTTACTTTACTAACTTACAAAACTCTCCCTCGCCTCGCAGTTTGAAGGAGCATTTTACAAGGGATTAGGAAAAGATGTTGCAGGAAGAAACAAGAACACCAGATGAACAATAAATAAAATTTACAATTATAGTAGTAAGCTAAATAATATCTGAGTTCACTTGGGTAATATTTAATATCAAATTGAAATCAGAATGTGTAATGAATAAAGTTAATATAATGCCACCACAACATCCGACACACGACTGCCCGAAACGCTTTGCGTAATAGTGGCTTTAGGCATTGTATGTACTAGCTCTATCTATAAAGCCAACAAACTTTGTAAAATCTCTTTATGTATGTACCTTACCTAAATAAAAATTATTATTATTATTATCTTATCTTGAGGTTATCTTGAGATGATTTCGGGGCTTTAGTGTCCCCGCGGCCCGGTCCTCGACCAAGCCTCCACCCCCAAGAAGCAGCCCGTGACAGCTGACTAATACCCAGGTACCTATTTTACTGCTAGGTAACAGGGGCATAGGGTGAAAGAAACTCTGTCCATTGTTTCTCGCCGGCGCCCGGGATCGAACCCGGGACCACAGGATCACAAGTCCAGCGTGCTGTTCGCTCGGCCGACCCGGTTATTACTTAAGCCCGTGGACAGACGGCGTGTGCTGGATGCAGTGATGATGACCCAGTGCACAGAGAGAGAGAGAGACTGGCTTCCATGGGTTGTTGTTGTTAAAGATTCGCTACCTGGAACAAAGTTCCAAGTAGCACGGGCTATGGTGAGCCCGTAGTTCCATGGGAGCTGGAACGACATACTTTACAATACGACATTTACCTGCCCGAAACGCTGCGCGTGCTAGTGGCTTTACAAGACTGTAATTACCATATTTGTATCCTCACATTCCTTATGTACATTCTTGTATATGCATAAATAAATAAAAATAATAAATAAATAATAACTTAACATTTGGGTGCAGCTTGTCGAGGTGAGATTCCATCTTCCAGATAGGTTAAAACATGATTAACGCTTAACGCATTGTTTCAGCGGTGTTTTTCCCTATAGTTGTTTGGTAAAGCATAGATCCCTGGCGTGGTAAGGGTGTACATTTTTGAAGGTATATCTTTATATGTGTGTAATGTTGACCACATTCCTGCCTGTTTGTATGAATTTATATTTTACCCTCGTCTGTGAGTTTGTGTTGGGTTGATTATACGCACGAGTGAATGAGAGGCCCGACTCACCTGGAGAGTTAGGAGTCCAACAGCGACCACAAGAGAGGCGATAACAGCAGCCCACACCAGGGGCTGCAGGGGCCGGTACACGTTCCTCCACGTCGCCAGGGGCTGAGGCCTCAACAGAAAAGCTCTCCAGATATGCACTGAATATTGCTCAGATGCTGCAAAGTCTCTGATACGATCATCCACCAATGCAAAACAATTCACAGTGAAATTCTTTTCCTTTCTATAAATCATTCCCAGAATTCCAACCCAGGTTCCGTTTTCCATTCTGCCCCACTTGTGGTCAGGCGCACTCTCCGTCATAGTGTAGGTGAAGTTTAGTGTTGCTGAGAGCGCAGCCAACATCCTTATTGCTGACCCTGATATGGCGTTATCAGACTTCCTCTGATATAAGAAAGGTTCGTCGTCCATGGAGGTGGCCAACTGAAACCTGTACCCTTCAAATGCAGGAAAGCGGTCAGGAAACAAGATTTCTCTCCGGGTAAAAAACTGGGGATTCCACTCACCGAGGAATTTCACACTGCTTGATGAGAAAGGCAAGACAGTAAACACCCCCATTGCATTAGGCCTTCCACTTCCCTCACTCGGGATCTCGTCAATAAGAGCCAGACTTCTGACGCTGCTGAAAACCTCCTCACTAAGGACATCGAGACTGGAGCTGGGTGCCAGACTGAAGAGTAAGAGGTCCAGGGGCTTCCAGTCTAGCCACAGCGGCTGAAGGAACTGTGTTGGGTCAGCGATGAAGAGGACGAGATGGAGCACGGAGATGCCCTGAGAGAGCGCCACAACCTGCTGGTCTGGCCTCCACCTCTCATTCACACCAAGATTTATAGTCGTGTAAAACGTCTTCTGCATCGCCTCCAGAGCCATTACCGATTGCTGGGTTTGGCCTGGAACAGAGGGATCCAGGTACAGTATCACAGTCCAGCCTCGGAACAAGTCCAAGGCCTCCGACAGCACCACCAGCTTCCTGGAGTTGATGTATGGTCGTTTGGGAACCAATGACCAACCATTACCAGCTAAAAGTACCAGGAGTACAAAGAGTAAGATGCATTGTCGGTCCATAATTAGTATCCGGAGGAACGAGTCTCTTGGCTCCTTGCTTGATGGTAGCTCTAGTGAGTTTACAACGGACGCGACCACTCGCTATATTCTGTATCTCCTTCACACCCTTGCAGGTCCCTTCACACCTCTCGCAGGTCCCCTCACACCTCTCGGGCACCCTCAAACCTCGCAGGTCCCCTCTCACCTCTCAGTAACCCTCACACCTCCTTGTCATGCCACACCTCGTTCACAGTGACGTGTCCGTGTTCGTTAATCAATGAAAACTAGGCGTTGTCTTGCCAACAGGCGAGCAACACCTCATTGATTCCATTCTGTCACGAACAGCTGAAAATTGAATTAAACATTACAGCATTTTTCATAACTTGGTACTGCTTAAAGCTAAAATAGAGATATTTATTAACAATATATATGGAAATACAACAAACCAACAACAAAATTGAAGCTATTCAACTAATATCTGAAGCATAAATGTCAAGTTTTATTCTTTTTTCTTTTAATAATAACATTACATATATTTACTACCTTTTAAATTATCACATACGCTGCAAGTCAACTCACATAGTTAAAACAGAAAAGGGGACCAAGTCATACATCTCCAGAGCATAAAAACATAATAGAAAAGAAACGGTGGAAGGTTTCTTGACCCACACCTCGTAGGGGCCTCGTAGCCTGGTGGATAGCGCGCAGGACTCGTAATTCTGTGGCGCGGGTTCGATTCCCGCACGAGGCAGAAACAAATGGGCAAAGTTTCTTTCACCCTGAATGCCCCTGTTACCTAGCAGTAAATAGGTACCTGGGAGTTAGTCAGCTGTCACGGGCTGCTTCCTGGGGGTGGAGGCCTGGTCGAGGACCGGGCCGCGGGGACACTAAAAGCCCCGAAATCATCTCAAGATAACCTCAAGATAAGATAACCACACGGAAACTCTCCCATAAACTCAATCGAACAAACTGATGGAAATATGTAACGCACACTGGAAACACTCCAGTGATCTTACGCCTGTCATCTCACGTGTGACGCAGTGTGAACAGAGTGGTCTCCTGGTCTTAGATTTTTTTGAGATATATAGAAGAGTTGTTACATTCTTGTAGAGCCACTAGTACGCGTAGCGTTTCGGGCAAGTCCTTAATCCTATGGTCCCTGGAATACGATCCCTGCCGCGAAGAATCGTTTTTTCATCCAAGTACACATTTTACTGTTGCGTTAAACAGAGGCTACAGTTAAGGAATTGCGCCCAGTAAATCCTCCCCGGCCAGGATACGAACCCATGACATAGCGCTCGCGGAACGCCAGGCGAGTGTCTTACCACTACACCACGGAGATTCATTGTAACAATAATGCATCATCATGACCTCGCTACAATCCCCTGTATGCCTAATACTTAGGCATACTTGCTGAGTGAGCAAGTGTGAGGATTTAGAAAAGATACTAGTCCGGAAAATATTCAGCATGATATCCCCTCAGAGAGAGCATGATATCCCCTCAGAGAGAGCATGATATCCCCTCAGAGAGAGCATGATATCCCCTCAGAGAGAGCATGATATCCCCTCAGAGAGAGCATGATATCCCCTCAGAGAGAGCATGATATCCCCTCAGAGAGAGCATGATATCCCCTCAGAGAGAGCATGATATCCCCTCAGAGAGAGCATGATATCCCCTCAGAGAGAGCATGATATCCCCTCAGAGAGAGCATGATATCCCCTCAGAGAGAGCATGATATCCCCTCAGAGAGAGCATGATATCCCCTCAGAGAGAGCATGATATCCCCTCAGAGAGAGCATGATATCCCCTCAGAGAGAGCATGATATCCCCTCAGAGAGGGGGAAATGGTAGACAAAAGAAAAACATGAACCATCTTCTTGAGGTTATCTTGAGATGATTTCGGGGCTTTAGTGTCCCCGCGGCCCGGTCCTCGACCAGGCCTCCACCCCCAGGAAGCAGCCCGTGACAGCTGACTAACACCCAGGTACCTATTTTACTGCTAGGTAACAGGGGCATAGGGTGAAACAAACTCTGCCCATTGTTTCTCGCCGGCGCCCGGGATCGAACCCGGGACCACAGGATCACAAGTCCAGTGTGCTGTCCGCTCGGCCGACCGGCTCCCTTATACCATAACAAAGGATAGCAAACTAACCCTCAAGAAGACATTGCTTAAGATGTCGAACCTCTTCCACGTTTTGAAGGAAGTTAATTTGTACTAGGACGCACAACGAAACAAAGGAACATCACAATAAACCAGGTATGAGAAAAAATCAGTTATAAGTATACACAGGTGTATTGTGAACAGAACTTTCTGTTTCAAGGATGGAAGAAATAGATTTGGGTATGTTTCTAGGAGCAATTGTGGATAGAAAGAAATTGTTTCTGGGGCAATAGAATTAAGTCCATTGTCTTCCTCTCAGATGGAAATAATATTTGCCGAGACAGTAGTGAGTCTGTGTACTCGTGGCATGGGTATAAAATGACCATAGAAGATGCATAACTCACCAAGGGTTATGCATCTTATTCACTCACCAGGAAGTAGCCCGTGACAGCTTTTTTTTTTTTGAGATATATACAAGAGTTGTTACATTCTTGTAGAGCCACTAGTACGCGTAGCGTTTCAGGCAAGTCCTTAATCCTATGGTCCCTGGAATACGATCCCCTGCCGCGAAGAATCGTTTTTTCATCCAAGTACTACTAACTAAAAGCTAAGTACGTACGAATTCTGACTAATGACGATCATCACAGGAAGATGGTTTGAGCTTCAGCAATTTCGTTTATTTTTGGTCTAATGTTTTTAATTAGTTTTGGTGTCAGTAGGAGCTGTCTTGCCTAGGTCAAGCTGCCTTCTGCACTCCTAATTTATTATGGTGTTATGTTTGTCCTGATACCTCCTGAATCATCCTTTAAACATAATGTGTTTATCAACATAATCAATGAGGAATTGCTCGTTCTTGGCCAACGCCTTGTTTTCATTGACTCCCGAGGACAGGATATTTCCTGTGAGCTGGGAGGTGTGAGAGAGGCCTGTGAGTTGTGAAGGGGGAGAACCTGTGAAATGTGAGGGGTAAAGGGATGTGTGAGGGGGAATAGAAAAAAACGTTGCTGTTATAGCAAGTGGTCGCGTCCGTTGTAAACTCATTCCAGCTACCATCAAGTAAGGAGCCAGGAGACTCGTCCCTCCGTATACTAATTATGGACCGACAATGCATCTTACTCTTTCTACTCCTGGTACTTTTAGCTGGTAATGGTTGGTCATTGGTTCCCAAACGACCATACATCAACTCCAGGAAGCTGGTGGTGCTGTCGGAGGCCTTGGACTTGTTCCGAGGCTCGACTGTGATACTGTACCTGGATCCCTCTGTTCCAGGCCAAACCCAGCAAACGGTAATTACTCTAGAGGCGATGCAGAAGACGTTTTACACGACTATAAATCTTGGAGTGAATGAGAGGTGGAGGCCAGACCAGCAGGTTGTGGCGCTCTCTCAGGGCATCTCCGTGCTCCATCTCGTCCTCTTCATCGCTGACCCAACACAATTCCTTCAGCCGCTGTGGCTAGACTGGAAGCCCCTGGACCTCTTACTCTTCAGTCTGGCACCCAGCTCCAGTCTCGATGTCCTTAGTGAGGAGGTTTTCAGCAGCGTCAGAAGTCTGGCTCTTATTGACGAGATCCCGAGTGAGGGAAATGGAAGGCCTAATGCAATGGGGGTGTTTACTGTCTTACCTTTCTCATCAAGCAGTGTGAAATTCCTCGGTAAGTGGAATCCCCAGTTTTTTACTCGGAGAGAAATCTTGTTTCCTGACCGCTTTCCTGCATTTGAAGGGTACAGGTTTCAGTTGGCCACCTCCATGGACGACGAACCTTTCTTATATCAGAGGAAGTCTGATAACGCCATATCAGGGTCAGCAATAAGGATGTTGGTTGCGCTCTCAGCAACACTAAACTTCACCTACACAATGACGGAGAGTGCGCCTGACCACAAGTGGGGCAGAATGGAAAACGGAACTTGGGTTGGAATTCTGGGAATGATATATAGAAAAGAAAAGAATTTCACTGTGAATTGTTTTACATTGATGGATGATCGTATCAGAGACTTTGCAGCATCTGAGCAGTATTTAATGCATAACTGTGGAGCCTTCCTGTTGAGGCCTCAGCCTCTGGCGACGTGGAGGAACGTGTTCCGGCCCCTGCAGCCCCTGGTGTGGGCTGCTGTTATCGCCTCTCTTGTGGTCGCTGTTGGACTCCTAACTCTCCAGGTGAGTCGGGCCTCTCATTCACTGGTGCATATAATCAACCCAACACAAACTCACAAACGAGGGTAACATATAAATTCATATAAACGGGTAGAAATATACACAACAATGCACAAACACACATACACATATATGGCAACAATATATCTTTACAATAGTTACCAAATTTCGACGAGCCTCCCATATTTAGATATAACTGGCTATTTAATATTGGTATAATGGAAATAAAGCATATATGGGAAGAAATATCAAGGGCATTATAAGACCATAAGAATTAAGGACTTTGTAAAAGGTCGGATGGACTACATGAGGAGCACGTATTTATATCCACCCGAACACACTCATACATAGATTCAGTCTCATTCATCATCCTATATAGACTCATTACTCATTCTTCTCAATGTTTGTTCATGATGCAAAAATTATGAGACGAATGAAGACAGATGAAGATAGACAGTGACTACAGGACGATTACAGACTACTGCCTTTAGAAACTTGTGTAAGGAATCGTTCAGGACCTTGTATACCACTTATGTCAAACCAATTCTGGAGTATGTAGCCCCAGCGTGTA